CCGCTGCTGAAACTGATCAGCGGCTGATTCCAGGAAGCCTGGGGCAGAGCAACTGTGCCTCGGGCTTCCTGTAGTCAGCGCTGGTCAGTTTCGGCAGTGGCTGACTTGGGGAAGTCTAGGGCAGAGCAGCTGGGGTGCTGCCAGGTTGGTCCCGCAGCACCGAGGGACGCATTCCCCCCCACTCCACCCCAGACCGCTCATAGACCCCCCCCTTCCGATAGTCCAGCATATTTGATAATCCAGCACCCCCTGGGTCCTAAAGGTGCCGGATTATCAGAAGTTCACTGTAATAGGATACATTTAGTCCCATCACTAACAAAAGCAGGTGCTTCAAGACTACCCTGCTAGAAACCACCAAACTAAAATTCTACAACAAGACTCTGGCTTCTGACAAATATAAGGACCAGTAAGCAAGTGGAGATGATTGGTGAAGCCAGTTGTCAGGTTAATACCACCACGAGCTGCAGTAACCCCCTGTTCCTGTGTAATGGGCTCTACCCATGACAGGCCCTCCTGCTCCTGAAATTGCACAAAATCATTAAAGCTTTCTTATACCTCAGAAATGTTTATAGAACCACTGATCTCTATACTACACTGATAGCAAGGTTCCGTAGTGGCCACAAATAACATGTCATCTAAGTAATGCACTACCTGCCTTAAACCAATATCCCACTGCTCAGTGAATATTGTACTTTCTCAGATGCTGAACGTATTGCTTAGTCCCCTGGGCACAGCTTTATCAAATTGTCCTTTAAACGTTTGGGTTTATCTGTCAGTCAGAAGGATGCACCATCAGTAGCTGAAAAGCAGACAATATGCCTTTCCTGTACTAGCATGGACCTAAATAGTCTCCCTTCTCTTCTGGGTCACCTTGAAGGTGAGGTATGGATCAGTGTCACAAGGCTGACTTGGTCTGAAGCATCCACAGCAAGTCAATTTCTGGCTGTTTAGTCCTTTTAAGGGACAAGCCAGATGACCATACTCATGACTTCATGCATGGTGAGTCAGTACATTGACTCTCGTGCTGACAATTGCTAACTATTTAATGTGAATTTGTTAATATGGGTTGCTTCTCCCTGTTCTTATTTTTATTCCACTGGTGGGTTGTCCACTTGTGTTATCATAATCAAGGGTGACCAGATGCCCTGATTTTATAGGACCACTCTGAATATTTGGGGATTTGTGTTATGTAGATGCCCCACATCCTATCCTGATTTTTCAGACTTACTGTCTGGTTCCCCTGTCTCAGTCCCCATCTTGGTTCTCTGTGTAAACTACATATATGCTCATAATCTTTTTCTACTGTTAAAAATTATTGTGTATTCTGATTATGCTAATCAGTACGCAGTCGGCTTTAATTGAATGGGTTAAACTTTGTTTCTCTTTGTGAAAATATTTTGAAAAAGTTATTTACCTTTCAGTTTTTTGATGACAAGATTTTTATAACTAGACTCCATGAGATCTGCATTGTTTTGTTCCTCAAGCAGATGACTCGTTTTGAGTTTGGCTGTTGGGAACCACATCTCTATGAATCACTTAAATTTTTGCCAGTTCTTACTGCTTTATAAAAATCTGTGAACTGCAAAAGAGTACATTTTTAGTGATCTGTTTTTATCCTGTAAACAGATTAATAATCTGAGTTAAGAAAAAGTTTCATTTTAGGTTGCCCATCATGTATAGCTATCACAGGCATACACAGTCAAATTAATCCTTTAATTCTACTTTCTCATTCTTTTGGGAATTTGTTCTTCCTTAAATTGATCTTAGTTTTTTGACAGGGCCTTAAAATCACCAAATTAGATGATTACTAATAGCAAGGATCTGAAAATCTTTACCACATAAAGAATCAGCAGTAGTCTTCTACAAGCAAGTTTTTAACACATGAATTCTCATAATGCTGACTGCCTATGTGCTGACTAAGTTTTTATTAAAAATTGTGAGGTATAGTGGCAAGAGAAGAATGGTACATGAGTTTGTGTGCATGCACTTTTTAATGCCTTTTAAACAACCTGAGAATGAGTTAAGAGGCATTGGAAGTACAGGATGGATTGCACAGTTGAGGACTGGTGATGTACAGGTTCTTGCAGCAGGACTACCAATACATTTCAGTCTTGACCTTAAAACTCCCTGTCTCAATTTTAGGCCTCTTGAGTATTCATTAACTAGTGTTCTCTGCTGAGAGAGCCAACCTGATTCCTTTTCACACAGTGCTCCACAAACTTTCCAATAGGTTCAGATCTTATGAAAATCGCAAGGTGTAAATTGTTCTTAAGAATGAAAATTCAAATTCCAGCGTTCATGTTCCTAGCAAGGCCTTTGGCTTACTTCAAAGCACTATTTTTAATACAATTTCCACGCTGTCATCATTAGTACTGAGGTATTGGAAAGCATAAAGAACAGCTGCAGTTTAGAATGTGTCGTACTGATGCCGTCTAAGAGATACTTGCCTTAAAAGTATATGCAGTGATAGGTGCATTCTCTCACCTGTGACTTTTTGTTTTGACTCCCACTAGAAACATGTATGTTGGTCTCTTTTTAAAAAAAATCACACATGTTGTCCTATTACTTCTAACTTGAATATTTAAATCACATCTTAATTTATAATTAGGCACATGAATGGCCTGAGTTTGAAGGGCTAGTTGGAAAGCTCCTGTTTGATTTAAGTGGAAAATATTAGCACTCTGACCACAGAGGTGTCTAACTTCAAGCATCAGGTTTGAAAATTTCAAATGTTGGTGTACCTGTATCTTGTGTCCTGTTTTTAACTTTTCCTTTGAAAATTACTTTTGGATAAAACTAGCTAGAAAGTAAATTCTGATCACTAAATTGGTCTTCCTTTGTCAATTTAAATATGCTCGGGGCAAAGATGACATTACAGGAAAAACCAACAGCATGCAAAAATAATCATGCCCTGACAGCCAGAATTTTTGCTTCATGCGTCCTCTTACACGTCTTAGACGGTATATTGAGAACTATAATAATGAACATTTTTTTTAGAAATTAAGCCAGAAACCAAGAAGTATATCTGAATGTTTCATGCTCCTGCATACCTTTAGGGCACAGACTTGAACGCTGTATTTCAATTTAAAAGCAAATATTTACATTTGTACTGTAAAGTTGTAGCTGTTAAAATATCAGTTTATCCCTTTTTAATTTGTAGTTCTTTACCAAGGGTCTCTTAGACCAAGGTTTCTCATTCTGTGGGTCATGACTTAAAACTGTCATCAGAATGTCAAAGATTAGTGTAAACTACGAGAAGTCCTGTGGCACCTTATAGACTAACAGATTTATTGGAGCAAAAACCCACTTTGTCAGATGGATTTGGTGGAAATTCCAGAGGCAGGTATAAATATACAGGCACATGAAAAGAAAGGAGTACCAATCAAGAGGAAGGCCAGAGATAACGAGGTCAATTCAGTCAGGGAGGATGTGGCCCACTTCTCGCAGCTGATGTGGAGGTGTGAACTCCAAGAGCGGAGAAACTGCTTTTGTAGCTGGCTAGCCATTCACAGTCTTTGTTAAATCCTAAAATGATAGTGTCAAATTTGTAAATGAATTGAAGCTCTGCAGCTTCTCTTTGAAGTCTGTTTTTGAAGTTTTTGTTGCAGGATGGCTACTTTTAAATTTGCTACTGTGTGGGAGATTGAAGTGTTCTCCTACCGTTTTTTGTATGTTACCATTCCTGATATCTGATTTGTCCATTTAGTCTTTTACATAGGGACTGTCCAGTTTGGCCAATGTGTTTAGCCAATGTGGCAGAGAGGCATTGCTGGCACATGATGGCATATATTACATTGGTAGATGTGTAGGTGAATCAGCCTGTGATGGTGTGGCTGGTGTAGATATGTGGGTAGAGTTGGCACTGAGGTTTATTACAGGGATCCTGACCCCAAGGACAGTGGGAGGCTCTGTATTGTAGTTAGAGACGGCCCTTCACTCACCCTGAAGTAGTGGCTCCAGTCCCATGGGACTTGCTGACCTTGGCTTTGCCATTCCTGGCACTGTCACCTGCTCACTGGGTCACAGCATTGTCCAGGTTTTTTTTCTCACTGTACAACATAAATCTCTTTATCCCAGTCTAATAATGTGATGGTGCAGAAAGCAACTTGATGCTAATTGATCTAAACAAAAGTTTCACATGTATTTCATCACTTTCTGTATTTATAATATTCACAGAAGAAAACAATATTGGCTGACATGATTGCTAAGATGCAGAATATTGTGAGGTTATGGGACAATGAGAGTTGAGGTCATTCAGTGATAGGGACTAGTCCCTAAATTTGAGTGAATTTACTGAAAATGAAAAAGCTCTTAGGTTTTGCGAGGCAGTCACAGTTCAAACTCATTTCTCTACTTCATTTTCTCTGC